TCACAAATAAGGGTCACTCAATAGCCAATTAATATCTGAAAAGGTGCTCAGCTTCATTAGTCATCAGTGAAACACAAAGTAAACCACCGTATGCCATTACTATATGCCCCCGAGAATGGAAAAAGGCAGAAAACACAAGTTCTGGTTGAGGATGTAACATCACAAGCACTCTCAGAAGCTGTGAGTGGGAGCACAGACTGGGACAACCAATTCGGAAGACAGTCACGTAATGTCTCTCTGCTAACACTGAACCTGTGCATAACCTGTGATGCAGCAATTCCACTCCCAGGTATACGCCCACAGAAATGCCTGTGTGAACGAACTTCCAAAAGTTTGCAGAAAAATAGAACTAAAAGATAGCATGAATCTTTCCACAGATCTTTTGAAGTACCCTAGTTTACATGCCTCAAAAAACATGTACAGTACTGTTTACCATGGTACTGTTTATAAGAGCCAAAACCTGGAAACTAAAAATATGACCATCTACAATATTCAAATAAATATTGATATATTCTACACAGATCTTTTGAAGTACCCTAGTTTACATGCCTCAAAAAACATGTACAGTACTGTTTACCGTGGTACTGTTTATAAGAGCCAAAACCTGGAAACTAAAAATATGACCATCTACAATATTCAAATAAATATTGATATATTCTTTAATGTAATACTGTATATCACTGAGTATGATAAACTACAGTTACATGAAATGATATGATTAATTTTCACAAAAATAGTGTAGAGTAGAAGCAGCCAGACACAAAGGAGAAGCTGCTGTATGATTCCATTTATAGAAAATTCAAAACCGGGTGTCAGGACAGTGCTACTAGGAGTCAGGCCAGGGATTATCCTTTGGGGGGTAATGACTGGTCATGCCTGGGATGTTAAAATATTATTTTCTTGATCTGGGTGCTGGTTACACATGTGTGTTGAATTCGTGAAAGTCATCAAGATGTTTGTGCACTTTTCTAATTGTATGTTGTACTTCAAAACAGTTTTTAAGTGAATTTTGATAAGTAATAAATTAATGAAAAGAAAAATACCGAAGAGAAGGAATTTAATTAGGAGACAATTTCCATAGGAGAGACAATAAAGACAAACACAGCAGACATAAAAACACTGAAACGCGAACGCCGTCGTTTTAATGGGATGGTGCTACTGAGAAGGATCCGGGTTCCCAGTGGAAATCAGCAGGAGCCTTCAGACACTCACAACTACTTCCCAGACAGCACAGGTAAGTATTGTTTTGTTATGCAGCACAAATAATATGGATCACAAATAATATGATGTATTTCGCTTCCTGAGCATTTTCTCTTGCAGGTACCTTTCATTCGCCAGCATGAAGAAAAGACATGTTTGATGTATGCATTTGGTCCACTCGTAACTGCCAACAGAAACAAAGGTTAGTGCACAGTCAGCATCCTGCAGTGTGGATAAATTAGACCTAGGGCTATACTTTATAACTTTGTAATGAGACATTGGAAATGATCAAAGACATCCAAAACATTTTATGGCTGGACGCCCCCCTTTCAGTTACCATTATTTTACTTTCCAGGGCCCTATTACGGGCTGTTAGCTCCCATGGTCCACAATTACATGAATCAATAATGAATCACATACAGATAACAAGGCCCCGCAGATCCTTCTTGGGACGATTGGTTATGGAACGAACATTCAGATGTTGGAGCAGTTCCAGGGTTCTGCAGTGGCCCCACACTGAAAGGCGTGCAGGGTCTGGGATAGCTACGCAGAGTGTCAGCATGAAGAAAGAACCATCAGGGAACGAGAATTTTAGAAGCCCATGATTCTACGCCTGTATCCCCAATAACATTCAGTATGACTTTTTGTCAAGCACCCTACTGCCTGCTCTGGTTTAATCACCGGATACTTAAGAGCATCCCATGGGAAAGTAAGTATGAAATGGTTTGAAATATCTGGAGCACATACCTAAATCTCACATTAGTAATTTTCCTAGACTTTAAGACCTGGGTGCCTCTGGAAGCCAAGGGGTGGAGGAGGTGTGGCAGGAAGGCAGTCGAAGAGGGTGAGCGTGGCCCCGAGTCACCCTCCTGAGCCATCCACTCTCGTGTTAAGCCTTCCCGGCCTCTCCACCCGGTTGCTCCCATGGGATTATGGATTGGGCCTTTGTAGTATGACAATAATCAATGTGGTATGACCAAGAGCCTGCAATGTGCTCCCTAGCACTGGTGCAGCTCTCTGGGGACAAAGGAGTCCAGTGGAGACACAGTGCAAGGTGTCCAGAGGTCCTGCCACCCAGGACAGCAGCAGCAGCCTCAGCATTATCCTCATCTGTGTATGCCTTTTAAATACTTCACAGTTGGCCCTTAAGTGATATCTTTTGAATACGAAGTGTTGAGGCAGGGGGTGGCAGCATTCTGATGGCCCCAGAAAACCACAAGCAGAGCAATTTCAAGAGCCTCCACTTTAGTCACTTGAGTGGACTCTTCTCCGTATTATCAAGCTGCTGGCTTCCATCCAGAGAATGTGAACTCTGACCCCTCACACTGATGGTCCATGGGATTCCATCATGCTGTAAGTTCACTTAACACATTTTAACAACCAACTCTGTTTGCATATTCTGCTCAGCAAAAAATTTGCCTTGGCTTCTAAATGAATAAAAAATGACATGGGTGACAAGTTCTAAGAGTCCTCAAGGAACAGTCTCCCTCCACCCCAAGTCCCACGTATCCTCTAAAGGTCTCATCCTGCTGCTCAGCCCCACTTCTGCCAATATCATCAGCACAACCTTCCCCTCAAACATCATAGACTCCCCAAACCAAAATCCAGAACCAGTTTCTTCTCTGAAGAGAGTCACTTCCCGTTACGTGGCCTTAGCATTTCCTCTGCACTCCCTGCAGCAGCCAGAGCCTCCGTCTCTGCTCTCATCCCCCTCTGGTTCAGCTTCCTGTGTACAACTCCTACTTTTCTCTTGCAGAATCTTTCACCCCCCCATCCTTCACTGTCCCCACTTCCACAGAGAGGGCGTTCCATCCTACCTGGCAGGACATGGGAGAGCAAGACGAGGATCAGGACCAAGAGTAAGCACCTCATGGCCAACCCAACCAGCAAGAAGGCCGCCAAGAGGCAGGGGAGAGCCACCCTATATGTAGCTTTGAGAGACAGGGACCTGCATGGCTAGTGAAGCTTTCGGGACAAGAACATCTACTTGCTCCACTGAGCAGCCAGCAGATGAAAGGTCTGACTCTGAACGTTACCTCACACCACGAAAGCACACATCCCGGGTGCCTCTTGTGTGCTGTCAACTGAACTCACACTGTGTGAACAGGCCCTGCTGGGATTCTGCATAGCAGTCTTTGTGTCTTCACTGTACACCCATTTAACAAAAGCCAAGAACCATAAGGTGACTTATAGAGTTGACAAAGAATTTTCAATCTTGTGCACATGCAAGACCCAGATAGGGATTATTCTCCTCATTTTAAAAACAAGGAACTTGAGTCTCGGGTGGAATAAATGACTTTCCTAAGTTCACATAGACCTTAAATGGCAGCAGCACAACCTACAAACAGGTTTTGTGACTCCTACATCCAGAATTGAAGTATGGCCTGGCCCAATGCTAGTGCAGCTGTGATCTCTTTAGGAAGATAAGAGCTTCCAAAAGGGCATAGACAAAAGCTTGCACACCACCCTGGGTGTGGAGAGAGCATTGTGTCTCAAGCCTCCCTACTGAGCACATGCTCTGTGCTGGGCATGTACTGGGCAATGCAGGGTGTACAATGAATTTATGACAAAACTCTTTGAGGGACTGAAGGTCAACAGTGCTTGACAGTTTTCAAAGTGTTTTAAGTTTTATTACTCTATCTGATATTCTATAAAGAATACACAATGCAGAATCAAACAACCAGAGTGTGGATCCACATTCTGCATGCACTAGCTTGAGATATATAATACATAATGGTAGATAGATGATATATAGATATATTTTTTTGTATTGTGGTAAAATACACATAATACAAGGATTGCCATTTTAAGCATTTTTAAACATACAGTTTATGGAATTAATTACATTCACAATGCTGTGTGACCACCCCACTATTTCCAAAACTTTTCCATCAGCCTGAACATAAACCCTGAGGCACCCAATGAGCAATGACTTCTCATTATTCCTTCCTGGTAACCTCTCATCTACTTCTGTCTCTGAATTTTTTTTCTTTTTAATTTATTTTTTCTTAATTGGCCCATGATAATTGTATGTATTTATGACGTGCAATGTGATATTTGATTGATTTATACAGTGAGCAATGGTCATACTTGGGTGTTTAGCATATCCATCACCTCAAACATTTGTCACCTCTTTGTGATGGGAACATTCAACATCATCTCAATTAGCTACTTGAAGTTATGCAGTAATTTGTTGTTGACTGTAGTTTCCATGTATTGCTTTAGAACCTAGATCTTATTCCTCCTCTCTCTAAATTCATTGACCACCCTCTTCCCATCTCTCTCTCCCCTCCTCCCCACCAGTCTCTAGTAACCACTGTGCTACTCTCTAGTTCTACGAGATCAAGTGTTTTAGCTTCCACATATAAGTGAGAACATGTGGTATTTCTCTTTCTGAGCCTGGTTTATTCCTTATTAACATAATTTTCCCATGTTGCTGCAAATGGCAGAGTTTCATTCTTTTTTGAGGCTGTGTACTATTGTGTTTCTTTATCTAATCATCCACTGAAGGACATTTAGGTTGGTTCCAAGTCTTGGCTATTATGAGTAGAGCTGCAATTAACACGGGAATGCAGGTATCCCTTCAACATGTAGATTTCCTTTCCTTTGGATATATACTCAGTAGTGGGATTGCTGGATAGTATGGCAGTTCTATCTGTACTTGTCTGAGAACACTCTATACTGTTTTGATAATGGCTGTACTAATTTCCAGTCCCACCAACAGCGAAGAAGTGTTTCCATTTCTCTGCCTCCTCGCCAGCACTTATTTTCTCACTTTTTGATAATAGCTGGGGTGAAATGACATCTCATTGTGGTTTCAGTTGTATTCCTCTTATGATGAGTGATGCTGAGCACTATTCCTGTACCTGTTGGCCATTCATATGTCTTCTTTTGAGAAATGTCTGTTCATCTCCTTTCCCTGTTTTTTAATTGGATTTTTTTTTTTTTTACTATTAAGCCATTTGAGTTCCTTGCATATTCTGAATACCAAATCCTTATTGAATGAATAGTTTGAAAATATATTCAATCATTCTGCAGGTTGTCTCTTTTGCTCTGTTGATTGTTTCCTTTGAAATGCAGAAGCTTTGTAGTAGTATATAATCCCATTTTTATTTTCGCTTTTATTGTCTGTGCTATTGAGTTCTTATTCATAAAACCTTTGCCCAGTCCCATGTACTGATGCATTTCCCCTGTTTTCTTCCAGAAATTTTATAGTTCAGGGTCTTACATTTAAGTCCTTAATCGATTTTTAGTTGATTTTTATATCTGGTGAGAGATAGGGGTCTAGTTTCAGTCTTCTGCATATGGATTTCTAATTTTTCCATCACCATTTATTGAAAAGACCGTCCTTTCCTCAATGTGTGTTCTTGCCTCTTTTGTCAAAAATCAGTTGTCTGTAGGTTCATGGATTTATTTCTTAATTCTCTATTCTGTTCCATTGGTCTATGTGTCTGGTTTTGTGACAGTACCACACTGTTTTGATTACTATAGCTTTGTGGTATAAAGTCATAGAATACAATGCCTCCCACTTTGTTCTTTTTGTTCAGATCTGCTTTGGCTTTTCAGGGTGTTTTTTGTTCCATGTAAACTTTTAGATTTTTTTTTTCTACTTCTATGAAGTATGTCATTGGTATTTTCATAGGGATTGCACTGAATCTGTGTATCACTTTGGGTAGTATGGACATTTGGACAATATTGATTTTTCCAATCCATAAACATGGAATATCTTTCCTTTTTTGTGTTTCTTTTAAAATCTTTTTAGTCAGTGTTTTGTAGTTTTCCCTATAGATGTCTTTCACCTCCTTAGTTAAATTTATTCCTAGCTATTTTGTTGTTGTTCTTCTTGTTGTTCTTGTTGCTATTGTAAATGGGATTGCTTTCTTGATTTCTTTTTCTGCTAGTCAGTTGTTGGTGTACAGAAATGCCACCAATTTCTGTGTGTTGATTTTAAAATCCTGCAACTCTACTGAATTTGTTTATCAGATCTAGGAGTTTTTTAACGGAGCCTTTAGGTTTCTCTATATATAAAATCATGTCCTCTGTGAACAGAGACAATTTGACTTCCTCCTTTCCAATTCATATGCCCTTTATATCTTTCTGCCTAATTGCTCTGGCTAGAAATTGACAGCTGCATGTTGAATAAAAGTGGTGAGAGTGGACATCTTTGTCTTGTTGCATTCAGTACGACCCAGCTGTGGGTTTGTGATATATTGCTTTCATTGTGTTAAGAATCTTCCCTTCTTTAATTTTCTGAGAGTTTTTGTCATGAAAGAATGCTGAATTTTATCAAATGCTTTTTGTGTACCTATCAAGGTGATCATGTTTTTATTTCATTCTGTTGATGTGAAGTATTACATTTACTGATTTGTGTATGTGGAAATACACACATCCCTGGGGTAAAACCCAATTGGTCACAATATATAATCTTTTTCATGTGTTCTTGGATCTGGTATGTTAGTATTTTATTGAGGATTTTTCATCTATGTTTATCAGGAATATTGGCCTGTAATTTTCTTTTTTGTTGTTGTGTCCTTGCGTGGTTTTGCTATCAGTGTAATGCTGGCTTTGTAGTATGGGTTTGGAAGAAATCTATCCACTTCGATTTTTTGAGTATTGGCATTAGTTCTCTTAAATGTTTGGTAGAACTCAGCAGTAAGGCCACCTGGCCATGGGCTATTCTTTATTGGGAGATTTTATTTTTATTACTGGTTCAATTTTGTTATTTGGTATTGGTCTATTCAGGTTTTCTATCTCTTCTTGGTTTAATCTTGACAAGTCATATGTGCCCTGGAATTTATCCATTTCCTCCAGGTATCAATTGTGTTGGCACGTAGTGGTTCGTAATAGTCTCTAAGGATCCTTTGTATTTCAGTAGTATCAGTTGTAATGTCTCCTTTTGCGTTTCAATTTCATTTTCATTTTTCTTGATTAGTTTAGCAGATGGTTGGTCAATTTTATTTATCTTTGCCAAAAAACCAACTTTTCATTTGATTTTATCTTTTTATTGTATTTTAATCTAAATTTTGCTTATTTCTGCCTTGAATTTCCTTTTTTTCCTTCTACTTATTTTGGATTTTGCTTATTCATGCTTTTCTAGTATCTAGAGGTGCATCGTCAGGTTGCTTATTTGAAATCTTTCTTTCTTTTTTTTTTAGGTATGAGTTTATGGATGTAAACTTTCCTCTTAATACTGCCTTGGTTTTAGTATGTTGTGTTTTGCCCTCATTAGTTTCAAGAAATTTTTTACTTCCTTCTTAATCTCTTCTTTGACCCATTGGTTGTCCAGGAGCATGTGGTTTAATTTCCATGTATTTGTGTGGTTTTTAAAGTTCTTGTTATTGATTTTTAGTTTTATTCCGTTACGTTAAAAAAATACC